TTGAAACCATTGCTGTTAGGAATATTGGGCCTAACTCCACCTAGTAAAACCGACTTATTAGAGAAGGATTGCCATCACCTTATTAAGTGGATCATTTATATTTTCCCAAACAATGTGGGATTCTAATACGTCCCCTCACACACAGCGTGTATCATACCAAACAACTGTGAACGAATCGATATTGGGTGGCACCCAACATTGCATAATTGGGCCTAGAAGGGCTCAACCATGATTCTAGGGTTTGCTGTAAGAACACACCGTTTCCCACACGATGAAAATATACGCCAACTCTCTGGATGCAAGTCACTGGAGTAATGTTTTGGCAACACAGCGCTCGCTGCGGACTTTATATCAGCAACGCAAATGTTGCGAAGATCATTAGCCGGATTCCTGCTGATTCGGAGACGAAATGGTACAAGAATCCGATAAATGGAGTAAACAAGAGTAAGAACAACAACCTTAGAATGCCACCAACATCAAATGCAACAAGAGCAAAATATGGGAACGCATCACGCCCGATAAGCAAAGTGCCATCGAGATCGGCCACTATACTCGTATGGTTTCCTCGCCCACTGGAATTGCATTTGTTGATGGTAGGAAAGTGACCAGTAGGAGATGTCTTGGCCATCCTTGTTTAATTTCTTTTAAGTTAATCAAATCTCTACGAAAAATATTAAGTAGTTTGAAACACAAAACATACAGTAAGAATTAAGGGAACAAAATGGGGTTCAATAACTATGGTGAGTTCATTTCTCTTTTTTAGACTGAAGGTTAACTCTTAAATAGGCTTAAAGAGGTGGATACATACTGCAGCCCTTCATTTTTACGAGCCTACGCTTGTCTAGACGAAGCCTAAGCGTCAAAATATTGATTCCATATCTAACTATAGAACTGAATTAGAATCAAACCAAACTATTATAGTTCGGTCCGATGTTCTTTATATTGAAAATGTATATATAAAAAAGTATGAAACTATTTGTCAAATTAAAAATAGAATTGAAATAATTTATCATTATTGAATTCTAATAATTTAAAAAATTAAATTAAGGCAATAAACAGAAATACAATCTACGACTCAAGATCAATTAATAAAGGCATAAAAAAAATTATTAAACACAATACAAACTGTAAAATCTAAATCAGAAATCATTTTGTAAGAAAATTCATACGACAATATATATTTTAAAAAAATACATATAGCATTTATAATCTGATTATATTCAATAATCTTCAAGGAGAAAATTTTTATTCTGATGGTGGATCACTTTAAAAACAATGAGAAATTCGAGTTCTTACGAAAGATTGATCTAAAAATACACTCTTTACTGTTGTGGTTGCATTAAAGTCATGAATTTTTGTAAAGTGTTTATAAAATTGTTTAAATATAAACGTTGATTACTCATTAGGTATTGCTGTAAAAGAAAGAAGAAATGTATTAAAAGTGAAATTTTGGCGTGGAATAATTTTAGGATATGGTGTTCAAATATATGATGCATAACTATTGATTCTTAAGGGTTTAGTACTTAGAACCCGGCCGAAATCCATTGATTCTCGATGTATGGCCCCAAAATTGATCCATTTAATACTGGAATCAGAGCCGAACTAGGTGGGTTCTATTCGGTTTCGGTCTAGTTCCGAGAAAAAAATGCCTAACCCTAAATTCAACAGTCAAAAACTAATTAAAAACGGTTACTCTAAGTTTCCAAATTAATTTAACTCAATTTCATCCATCAACATTTTTAGCACTCTCTATGTATTTTAATAATTTTGAAATATTCAAATTTATCTCGTGCGATGTCCTATATTTTAGTTTGCCTAACAAACGTAGAAAACTTTCTTCTTGACAGAAGATTGCTATCAATGTTCTTTATCGATTAGCTTTAGCCCATGTTTGATTTAGATAAAAAAAAAATTAGATTTTTAATAAAATTTGATAAAATATATGATTGAAAAATTGTAGATCTCGTGAAATGTGTAGTAATTGTTAATTTGAACTTAAATTTTAATCAACTTTTATATCTAAATCAAATAGACACTTGATAGTTACTTGGAATTGATTTGATTCATCCGGTGCTTCACAGTTTCGTTGATGGCATCTGACATGGACAATATTTTTACCATTAATTTTAACAACACTTAAAACCATCAATGATATAGAATTTTACACATCATTCAATGTCAAAAAAGCTGTACATTTTTTTTATGTACAAATAGCATAATTCTTGATTCATCAAACCACTAATTCAGTTTTGGTTGTTAATCAAAGTCAAATATATAATTTGAAATATACATAATTTTTTTATTTTTCAAAGTTTTCTCTTAGATTTTCTCTTCCCAAAATGGTCGTTAGTATTCAGTATTAAGATTTCAACTTAACATATCAAAATTATGAACATGAGTAGGCCAAGCCCTTGTATATCGATAAGTATTTTCATATTCAAACGATGTACTTTTTATTTTTATTTTTAACATATAAATAAAAGATGATAGCACATTTATTTCCTGTGACTAATTGTTTCGCTCTTTTTTCTTCGTAGCTGTTTGTCGCGATTTGATTGTAGGATGGTAGCATATTTGAGATTCCAATGTTGAAATTTGATTATTTTATCTTTAGATTGATCAAATTATTTCTTCAAGGTTTTTAGCTTATAACTTGATTACCTTATTTATATTTTTAAACGATGTAAATATCTTTCGAAAATTTATAAAAACAAAACATATAGGTGGAAACTCTATCCAGTTTCCTTAAAAAGCCCATATTTTTTTTTTAGTGTTTCGATTTTTGAAAAAAAATTATACTATTATTAATCTCAATGGAAATATTCCATGCAAAAAGTCAAATAGTAATGCATCTGCACAAATTATATCATTGTTGCACGTAAATTCAAATTTTTTTCTACTTTTTATCTGCACATTCTTAAAACAAAATGAAAAAAAAAAATTATTACAAAATCTATTCTCTAAAAAAATGGGGCTCAAACAGTCTTAATTTTTACTTTCTTTAGCCGATAAATTTGGTCCCCTTATTCCCTATGTAAAGGATATCACGGTAAATCCATTTTTTATATGGATTAAGCCATTTGTACATTTTTTTGTTGACATGCAGTTTGACATGCCTTGGAAATTCAAAGTGTTGTTGACGGGAAAGTGTGTAATGTTTAAAAACTATCTAATAATGATGCGACATGTGGCACAATGTCAAACTAAGTGTAAAAAAAAATGTACAAGTAGCATGAACCAAAGTAAAAACATCTGTTAAATGGCTAATAACAATGTCAAACTTAGTGTAAAAAACATGTACAAGTAGCATGATCCTTTTTATATGTAGAGAAAATATGAAGAGAGAGATGAATATTTACACAGATGGTAAATTTGTTTCGTCATAGTTAAATCTTGCATTAAAAAATGAAATACTCAGAGTAAATCAATCTAAAACCGTGTATTATTTATTTGCTTTCGGTTTTCTGTATGTTGTATCAGAGTCCCACATTGACTGGTGATATTTACATGATCTATTTAATAAGGTGGGGGCAATCCTATCCTAACAAGCCGATTTTGTTAGGTTGAGTTAGGCCAAATATCCTTTCTAATATGGTTTTAGAGAAGACCCAGTTTTGCAATGTTGGGTGCACCCAATATCAATTTGTTCACAATTGTTTTGTTACAGCCCATTTTTAATTAGTCCAAGTCAATGGTTGAATTGTCAAGGTCAAAGTCAATATGGACTTAATTGGAATAATNTGTTACAACCCATTTTAATTAGTCAAAGTCAATGGTTGATTTGTCAAGGTCAAGGGCATTATGGACTTAATTGGAATAATTAATTTTCTTGGGATTTATTTCATAGTGGATGATATTGAGGATTAAGATGGATTAAAATTGAAGTGGGGGACTTACTTATACATCATATGAAAGCTATGGGACTACCTTTGCAAATAGCCCATAACTTTACCAATTCAAAATCACTTTTCTCATTCACACTACACCTCCACACGCAGAGACCATCTGACCGAGAAAGAAGGGAGAAAAAATAAGGAAAAAGGGAGGAAAAAGAAGAAGAAAGGAGGAAGGAAAAAGGGAAAGGAAGGAAAAGGTAAAGTGGGTGTTTTGAAGTTGAATTTTCATTGTTATTCTTGTGATTTTCTTTAGAAATGGAAGATTATTATGATAAATTTCTAAGGTTTAAGTTGTGGTAAAATTTTCAGATTTATGGGATATATGATATAGTGGAGCTCAAGTTTGTTAATCCTCTAGTTTCCATTTATATCAAGGTAAGAAATTCATTTTTTTGGGCAAACCCTAGAACTTTTAATTTGATTCTTGAGTAAGGATAATTGTGGAAAATGATTGTGATGATGAAATATTTACTTGGAAGTATATATTTATGGAAGAAGAGGAAAATTTAAAGGAATGAATTACGATTACTAGTTGTCATTAGTTTGAAGTGGGTATTTGCATATATGCTCGGATTGAAGGTTATGTTGATGAGTTGGTCATTAGTAAATGGACTAGAAAGTGAGATTAGCTCCAATGGATTAAAGGAATAATTTGGGGAATTTATTCAAGTATGGAGGAATTAAGTTATAAGAGCTTGTATGTTAATACTAAGACTACTTTCTATGGTGGTCGCTAAATTGATTATTCATATCGTATTTCAGGTGGTGACGAGGAGATTGGAAACGTCTATCAACCAGTCTAGCTTGTAGCTCGTATTTTGTGAGTGGAAAATCTTATTTTTCAGAAATAAATATTTATTAAATATATACTATATCCGAAAGTTAATTATTACCTATATTTGATTTGACGGCATGATTTCCAAAATCAAATGGATTTTTGTAGTCACTTTACTTTTGTAAAGTTAAATCTAATTCATTGAAATTATTTCTCTAGCATGTTATATTCATATTATATATTTCAGCATATTTATAGTTATTTTAAAACCATCGGAAAGTACCCAGGTGATTTTACCCGCTCTGCACTGATGTGAATGTGTTTCCACAGTGTATGACCAGATTATCAGAGGTCTTTGGGACCCACTCTCGTACACATATAGGCTTTGGGCCGTGTATTAGGGTGATTAGCCTTTGGGGCAGCTCTGCGTACGTATGACCAGTTTATCAGATTATCAGATTTGAATGGTTTTGCCTTGTACATCGAGATTACTCTGTACATGAGTAAGGCTATTCATTGGGTACTTCTTGGTGTGATTATTTAGTGTATCATTTATATTCATTCAGTTTTAGATTCACAGATTTTCAAATATCAGATAATAGTTCATTTCAGAATATAGAATTCAGTTATTTCAGTTACAGAAATACAATTTTAACTTATAGAAACGACAGTTTTACACATATTTATGTTGATACCAGATTGTCTATACTTGGCATATTTTTACAATTGGTTATTCAGAATAAATAGTATGAATTTTATGATTTTAGCATGTTTCAGTTATAAAAGAAATTATCAGAATTTCTTAAATACTTTAAGAATAATAAATCAGATTTTTCAGTAAAAATGTATAAATGGAAAAAGTATATGTATTTGCGAACTATCCACTCACTGAGTTACAAACTCATATATTTTGTCATGTTTTTCCTATCAGGAGGCCGCTGAATTTGAGATACCTGGAAAGCCTGTTGAAGTTCAGAGCCTGACTACCCATCATTAGGTTGCATGATTTTTAACCATATCTAGCATGTAAATGTTTAATTGGGAACTTATGTCATAAAACACTTGGTCTAATATTTTGTGTAATGTTCACTTTGTCGATGGGTTGCTTCATCGTTGTAATGCATGCATGTAGACATGTTGTTTTGTAGTAGAAGTGTTCACTCAAGTTTAATTTCATATTGATTTAGTTGTGGTGGTATTGATAGATTTGGTGATCCCAAAATATTTGATATTGATTATTGTATGGGGTCTTTTGTAAATTTTCAGGTTGGTTTTGTTCCATTTTCAGGGGAAACTCTGCCAAAATTTTTACAAAAATATTGCATTCACTAAATAGTCAAACAGTCGTAGAACAGTCTATGTGGCCTTGGTGGTAGGTCCATCATCTAGTTGGAACTCATCATTCGCGCACGTCACGTGTGGGTCCACTAGGGTGACTCGAGACGGGGTCGTGTCATGTTTGGTATGATCCACGCTGTGCGTGAGGGGGCGTATTAGAGTCGCACATTGATTAGTGATATTTACACAATTCACTTAATAAGGTGAGTGCAGTTCTCCCCTAACAAGCCGATTTTGTTAGATTGAGTTAGGCCCAATATCTTTTCTAATATGCTGCATTACTACTTCTATCAATAGTATGGTATTAGACTTTAATCAATAAAAGGTTAGAGTTTAAACTGGAATATTAAAATTATGTATACAAGTTTTCGTAGTAAACATAAATAATCAACTTCAAGTTTGGCAAGGAACTTGTGGTAGCTCTTTTCGTTCTACTTTTGTGCACTTAGGTTCGGTATAACTATAGTGGACTTAAGTTAAATAGCAATTAAATGCTATTAATAATCTGCCAGCCGCTGCAGTCCTATTTCCTACTATTTAAATTGCACTTTCATTAGATTATAGGAAGGCAAGAAAAAATTAATCCCAAAGGACGCGATTGAAAGAAAATGTGTTGAAAATAAAATTTAAAATTTGAATATATTTGTCAACTTCCTAATGATAAATTAATTTTTTATATGATTTAGTTTATGTTGGTGATATAAATCAAATCAACAAATACCTCTCATCTAGTCATGATTTTTACCTCCTAAACTCACTAGTTTTGATGCTCAAATGAGTGAAAGAGGAGAAGGGCTATTTGAGAGGAAGATATTTGAATTTGCATGCTTTACTCTTCTAAAGTGGGGATATTTATGAATTTCCTTCTAAGTTTCGAGGTAATTCAGTCATTTAGAACAAATGAATTGTAGCCCCCTTATTTGCTAGCTAGTAACTGATTATATTATAGTATCACATTTTATTCATTTCTTACGTGTCTTAGCAATGACTCTTAGCAAGCCTGGATGGGAAAAGGGTTTACCCACCTTGAGCGAGCACTTTACACCGTTGTCTCCCCTGTATATCACTTAAGCTTCGTAGGTGAGGGAAATATTCGCGACGAATATTTCTTGGTTCAACAAATAGTCCCCAAAGTCCAATTTTATTATTCATGTTAAAGTTATGACTTCTATTATACTATGCTACAGAGCTGCAACCTTATTGATGACCTTACCTTAATCATATTTTTCCACGTTTTCCTGAGATGACGTTGGTTCCATTAAGAGACCATGTTTAAGACCGCCACCTCATTTTGCGCACTCTAATGAGCCTATGAGCAATTTTATAGGCTAGTGGCCCATATGTGTTTAATGCACGTAGGAATCACATGTAGTTTTGCCCGTTTGTTTCAGGATTCGATTAGCCATCCGTTCATTTCCAATGGTCATGATTTTTGATCGACATATTTCAACGATTTATACATTCCGTCAGAATTTATAAATATGCCATTACTTATGTGAGTGTTTTTTATGTTGCCATTTTATTTTTCTAGATTTGGTTTATATTTCTTATCTTCTCCAACTCTTTTCTTTATCCACGTGCATGCATGTTCTCTTCTCCTCTTTTCTTTTACGCTTTCTTCACAATGTTTTCTTAACATGATTCTTGTAATGTGCCTTACAAATATGATTCGGATAGTTCTAGGCTTAGAGTTGATTCTTCTAGATCTTCTTTCTCTTCTTTAGAAGTACTATATATCTATGTGCTTATTTATAAGGTAGTCACTTATTCTAGTATATGCATGAACCTAGAATTGTTTGGGAAAATGAGTTATTTTTGACCTAGGATTAGGTACATGATGAGGCCTTAGATTCGAATTCTATGAGACGCGATAAAAAGCCATGAAATGTAAGATGGGATTAGGTTCTCCTAGAGAAAGTATGTATGATATAATAGTTTTGACACATAGGTCCAAGCAATTACAACTTAAGTCATTCATCAAACATAAGTCTTGGGTTCGAATCTTGGGGATGCAATAGAATGTCATGAGGGATAATATGGACTTAACCTTTCTTAAATCAGACCGTATGTGTGATTTAATGGCTTGGACATGATATTCAAGTCGTTATAGCTTTCCATCAGTATCCTCGAGGTTGCTTCAAAATTTCAATACCAGCAGTTCTGGTTTTCAAGATATTATAAATCCTTTTCATGAGTCTCTTATTTCTCATTCTTTTTTAGAATTTTTACTTCCAATACATATATACGTTGTTCTCTGTGTGTGTGTCTTGAAAATCGATCCAGACATCAATCCAAAATGGACAAAGTGTCAGGGTTAAAATGTCAAACTAGGTTGAATTGAGATCGAAATGGTTATAATAAATAAATAAATATATCACAAAATTTGTGAAAAATTAGTTAAGTTTTTAATATTAGTTAATACATGTAAATAAAAGACTTTTAAACTAGGCACATTATATCCATTTCTAAATCCTAATCTCAACAAAAATGAGATGACAGATATTTTTAACCTTGATTTTTGCAGGGATGACATGGCCAACATATCTCAGCTCTTTTGACGTCCATGTAAGCTTCTCTCATGCACATTTGGGCAAACTATAAGTCACATGAGGCCGACTTAGGTGGTGGGGGGAAGGCATTCACAAGCACTCGAATGATCAAGTCTGTCAATGACAATGATATGTTGGGTGTGAGACATGTTAGAGACGTCGCTACTATTTAAAAAAGGGTCGAATCCTGGAGTGAATGTAGAGAGTAATGAGAGCAAGTTTATAGTTTGAGTGTATAAAGTTACATTACTTTCAAATGGTACAATGTCTAAACTATTATAGTAGAAGAGGTGCAATATTGCTTATCCTGATGGTTGAAGCTCCTATCATAGGTATTTATCCATCCATCATAGGCCACATAACATTTAATGTTTATGAAAACAGTCAGCTTAGTGCCTATCTTTGACATTAGATTCATAGACTATCAATTTGACCTTTAGTCGTTTGCTGTAGAGATGTCATATCAATCAATCGTAGAAAGATATTGTACAAAAGATCTCTTGAAATAGGCGAGGAGGGATATGCTTTTCCTTAGTGAAGAGGCTAGTTGTATTAGATGTTTTCCTTGCAGCACGCGTAACACCTCACTTATGCCATGAAGGGGATTTAACCTCATCTTGTAATTCTTTAAAATTTAGAAAGTAGCATCTAGGTGCTTGAAATGGCCTCCCATCTTCAGGTACTTTAGAAGCATGTTATCTACATATACCTCCATGGTTTTGCCAATGACGTCATCTAACATTTTATTGACAAGCCTTTGGTAGATGACTTCGATATTTTTCAACTTGAATGACATTATGTTGTAGCTATAGAGGCATCTATTAGTGATTAAAGAGGTGTTCTCTTTATTCGTAGGGTGTATGGTAATTTAGTTAGAATTTGAATTGGCATCCGTGAAGCTCAACAACTCGTGTCCTGCAGTGGAATCCATGAGTTAGTTTATCATTGGAAGAGGGAAGTTGTCCTTTAAGAAAAAAAACTTTATTGAGGTTGGAAAAGTTTATGTAGACCCTACACTTGGCATTGTGCTTCTTCACGAAGAATAGATTGGAAATTCACCTCTATTGTAGGGCCCCTTTGATTAAGCCATTGGTCATCAGCTTCTCTGCATCCATCTTCAAGGCCTCATACATCTCTAGGCTGATGAC